AGGGAGGGCGAATAAGGAGGCAGAGGATGAAGACCCAGAGGCAGGAGGTGGGACCGGGGCTCCAGGCACGGGGGGCAGCAGAAACATAACAACGCCGACGGAGTAGATGGCCGTCGCCAGGAGAGCAAGACTGAGCTCTTTGAGCTGTTCGCTCATCCACGACAAGAAAACGTTGAGCAACAGCGGCGCCACGGGGCTCGAGATCATGCACATCCCGATGAAGTACACCTGCTCGGCCGCTCGCGCCCGAGGAGGCGTAGCTTGCTGTGATGTTTCCATGGCCTCCCTGTGGGCCAGGCAGGCCGTGCGCCTCTCTCGTCTTCTCCCCCCTTCCCTGCAGACCTGCACGCGCCAGGCCCTCTCCTGGCACGGGACGGTGCTCTCGCCTGTGAGTGATGGCCAGTGCCAGGAGGGCCGCGTGGTAGGCTGTTTCGTCACCGAATCCTGGGGGTGCGCTCTCACAGGTAGACAAGCGCGTCCTGGTACTCGCAAAAGGCCTGGGTCCGCCATGGAGGATTTACGACCCATGACATCGAGGCAGACATGGTTTTGGTGGACGTTTGTGAGTAGGCACTTGGCGAGTAGTGGAACGCGCTCGGTGAGTTCACTCCTGTCGAGCCCGAGGACTTTCTCTCTTCCCCCAGTTGCTGGCACACACGTGATACACCACACGCAAGCACGTGAACATAGACCTGTACCCGCACTCGCGGTGCGTTCTGAGTGACATCCGTAGTTGCACACTTCTGCAATCCTCCACCTTCTGCCCCTCTCCTTCCTGAGATTGTTGCACTGGCCTTGCCAAGTTTCCCGCTGGTTTCGTTTATGCCGCCAAGCTTGGGAGCGCTCCTGGAACCGATTGAACACCGAGCTGCAGAAACTTCAGTTGGACACAGTAGTGCATATTGTGTCAGCTCGAAAACGACGCAGGTCAGAGGGTCAGAGGACGCAATAAGCCGCTGAGAGGCCGCCAGGACCCCCCCAGAAACCTCCCAGTCTCCCAGGAGTCTCCCAACTTGCTCCGACGTCGTACGGAGGGGGGTCAGCATAACATTGCGCCACTGCCGCCGCACTCTTTTCGTGATGACTGCCTCATCGTGCCCTCGAGCCTCGGCAAAGGAAACAGTGGTGGCGACAAGTGGCGACAGGTGGCCGGGAGCAGGCAGCCGCCCTCCCACGTCTGGGCACCCTCGCGGCGAGCTGTGGTCGAGCTCGCAGCGCGCCTCGCACGCGCTCTCCCAGCCGCTCGCCCAGCGTCTCGCGCTCGCTTCCCGGCCGCTCGCAGGCTCCCAGGCAGCGCCGCCCCGGTGAGGGCGAAGTTCGCAGGCAGCCCCAAGGCAGGCCCTGGCAAGCGTGCCCCACGGCGCAGGAGCGTCTGCAATCGAGGAGGCGCACGCCGGCGCACGTGCGCTCGCGGTCGCGCACCCACGTCTGCGCCACTGCGTGCGCGGCCGTGCGTGGCCCCTCAGAGCTGCTTCGCTGTCCCAGAAGAACACCCAGCGGCACAAACATACACTTCTGGAGCCCCGCGCGGATTTCTTGGATCGGTGCTGGGGCCCGCTTCCCTGGTCGCGCGGAGCGTGCCAGGGGCGGCGCCGGAGGCGGCGCCAGGGGGGTCCAGCGCCGATCCAAAAAAACCCGCGCGGAACTCCGAACATTTGCGTATGCCAATGCTACTTCTTCTTCTTCTCCTTCTTCTTCTTCTTCTTCTTCTTCTTTTTCTTCTTCGTTGTCCTGGTCTTTCCGGGGCGACTCTGGGGGCGAATAGCCCATGGGAGGGTGATGCATGTATCCAGGGGCGCCGATGGCCCATGCCTTCGGCGAGGCTCCTGAGCGAATGCGTGTAATGCTCGCCTCTGGGCTGTTCTCCCCTGCCGTCGCCTTCGGGTCTTGGACCACACAGGTGGTTACCAGCCGTGCCAGCGCTGCTTGCGCGGTGGGTGGCACGGCAGCAGGCGACGGTCCGTCCAGTCGTCAGCTGGCGGCGGGGTACGGCCTGGAACTTCTGCTTAGCGGGTCGCAGACGGCGGCCCCCGCGACGCGCTATGCCTCGCGAGCGGATAGCGTGTCGCTCCGCCCCGCGGGGCGGGAGGCTCGGGAAAGCTCGGGACGTTGACGCCTCGGGGCCGTGAAATGGATGGCGTGTCGCACCGAAGCGTGGTGGGCCAAACCGGCGGAGCGACTCGCTGAGGTCGGACCTAGGACAAAAGAACACCCTCCAAGAACTAAGGAGCACTCCAAGAACATCCTCCAAGAACACCCTCTGCCAGCCCAAACTGAAGAACGCTCGAGGGTGCCCTCCCCAAGGATGCGCGAGAACGCCCAACAAGCGGGAAAAACATCAGGGTACCCTCCCCGAACCGATCTCGATCTGATACCTCGGTCCGACGCGCTATCCCAAAGTTCCCGACCGAAGATCGCGCGGCGGGGCACCAGGAGGCCCAGCACGGGGCCCCGCACGCGGTGCGCTCACTCCTGGGCATCAGTCGCCCGGGCCCTGCGCGGGGCCTGCTGCGGGGTGCAAGCCGGTCTCTCGAGGTGCGAGAGATGTACGCGCTCGGTAGGGCCGCCTGCACGATATGAGCTGCGCCCCCCAGACAGCGGCGCGACGCGGCGAACAGTAGCTCGTGAGGGCCGCCTGCACGCTGAGCTGCGCCCCCAGAGCGGCGCGACGCGGCCATCACGAAGGGGCCCCAGGACACACAAATGAATACACACAACTAAGATAATCCCCCATATTTTCCTATGTTTTCGGGGTTTCTGCCTTTTCCCCCCACTTCCCATATTTTCTGATATTTTCTTGGGAATCGACGATTCATTGTGTCTGTGTGTTTTTTCCCTCCTGACATCATCAGGCAGAGCGGCGTCGGCTACAAAAAAGACAAAAAAAAAAAAAAAAAAAAAACAAAAAATAACAAAAAGCCCCCCAGCAGGCAGGCAGCCGTGCCCGGTGCTGCGGCGGGGGCCCCGGGTACCAGTAGGGTCCCTGGCAGGGAGGGGGGGCGCCGGTCGCGTCGCCATGTGCAAATGCCTGTTCGCCTGGCAGATCCCTCTGGGGACCTGTCCCCCCTCCAATATGCGATGGTCCTCCTCCTCCTCCTCCTCCTCCTCCTCCTCCTCCTCCTCCTCCTCCTCCTCCTCCTCCTCCTCCTTTGCTCTCCGACCTCCAGCCTTCCCCTCCTTTGCCCCGTCGCCCCGGGACGGGAGCGGAGCTGGCAGTGAGTCCGCCGGCCGGGCTCCCGCCCCCCCCCCCCCCCGTCGGTGGCCTTGGGGGCGGGGGCGGCCCCTGCACGCGCAGCTGGCTCGCTGTGGGAAAGCGGGGCCTTCGGTGGCTCGGATGCCCTCGCGGCGCGGGGAACACTTGACTGGCGTGGGAGTGTGCCGGCGTGCCTGGACGGCCGCCGGTCCGGCCAGCGGACAGGCTCCAGCGCAGGCTGTTCTGGCCGAAGGGTTACCAACGCGGCGCAGGTGGATGACGCTATCTACTGTGGGGCGTGCACGCTCGACGACCTCCTCCTGTGTCAGAGGTACCCTGCCGCCTTCGTCACCACCTGGGCGAAGTGGCTATCAAACAACGTTGGGGTGCTCGCGCTGTTTGCCTGCGCCGGCACGGACATCTCGCAAGCCGTTGTCGATGCTAGCCCTGGTCGGTCTTTAGTTTTGATCCCCCCCCTGTTCCTCTCGACGTGGAATAGAACTCGTCCCTCCTCTTCATCTGGCTCCTCCTCCTGGTAGTCGTCGCAGTCGCAGTCGCAATCGTAGTCGTCCTTTGTCGCCGTTCGTCGTCGTCGTCGTCGTCGTCGCTGTTGCGCGGCGGGTGTCGCGGGCGAACCATTGTGTTCCGCTGCTGGGGGGCCCCAGTCCGTCAACGAGGGCGTCGAGACGATCATATTCCCTCCTGCCACGTTAACTGTCCGAGAGGAGGGAGGGCCGTTTTCTGGCGACGACCGTGAGCACAGCCGCAGGCTCTCCGCGGGGGGTTCTCTAAGGCCCCATCTCGCTTAGCTTCGCGTGCTGCGCCCCCGAAGTATAGCCCGCGAATGCGGGCCTCGGGCCGCCGGGGCCGCAGGCGCCGCCCGTCCCGGGGCGACCCTCTCTTCCCGCACATCCCGCACGCTCCTCCTCCCTCCTCCTCCCTCCTCCCTCTTCCTCCTCCTCCTCCTCCTCCTCCTCCTCCTCCTCCTCCCTCTTCCTCCTCCTCCTCCTCCTCCTCCTCCTCCTCCTCCTCCTCCTCCTCCTCCTCCTCCTCCTCCTCCTCCTCCTCCGCCCTCCTCCTCCTCCTCCTCCTCCTCCTCCTCCTCCTCCTCCTCCTCCTCCTTCTCCTCCTCCACAGCCTCCTTTGCGTTTCTCTTTCTTGCCCTTCCCCCTCCTCCTGATCCCCCCCCTGCGCCCCGTCTGGCCGTCGCTCGGACGTCCATTCCCTGTGCTTTGTTCGGTTTCGTGCGTGTTTTTTTTTTGGCAGGATGATCCAGGATGCTCCTTAAAAATCCCCGCCGAGAAAAATTGCACACGTCTGAGCGATACCAAGCCTTCTCCTCGAGAGACAGCTCCTCTTCGCCGCGGCACGAGACACTGGACATGTCAGCATGGCGTGTGTGCGTGCTGCTTGTTTCAAGTGTGGCTCTCGCCTTCGCGCCGCGGACCTTCGTATCAGCAATTTCCAACTGCACGGGTTGCGGGCGGCTTCTTGTCAAAACGGAACTCTCGCCAGAGATCTCCCCACATGTGTGGTGCGAGACGACGACGACCACCACCACGACGACGACGACCACGACGATCACGACGACGACGACGCCCGACAACAAACGACGACGACGCCCAACGACCAACGACCAACGACCAACGACCAACGACGACGACGACGACGACGACGACGATGACGACGACAAGTTGGCGGTGACGACCACAAATTACACGGATGGAAGGCGCCCACTTTTCTCCGTGTTGCTATCGGCGAAAGCGTCTTGTGCGCACCGAGCGATTTGCTGGTGCAGAATCCACACCTCCACTGCTCTGGATCCGCCACCCCCGTCCAGGACCCCCCCGCTTTCTCTCCCCCCTCCTCCCTGGAACTGGGACCCCCTCTATCCCCGGCGAGAACCCCTCCCCCAACCTCCCCACCCGCCCTCCCCTGGGCGAACCCCTCCCCCCCCTTCCGAAATTCAGTGGAGGAAGTTCGTCTACCCCCCACGCCCCGTCCTCTCGCCGCTGGCAAACGACGTCGTCGCCGCCGCCGCCGCCGCCGCCGCCGCCGCCGTCGTCCTCGTCGTCGTCGTCGTCGTCGTCGTCGTCGTCGTCGTCGTCGTCGTCGACGTCGTCGCCGTCGTCGTCGTCGAAGTGGTCGTGGTCCTGGTCGTGGTCGTGGTCGTGGTCGTGGTCGTGGTCGTGGTCGTCGTTCTCGCTGCCGTCGCCGCCATCGCCGTCCTCGCCGTCGCCGTCGTTGCCGTCGCCGTCCTCTCCGCCGTCGCCGTCATCGTCGCCTTCGCCGTCGTCGGGCGGGCCGGGCGGTCGCGCGGGCGGGCGGGTCACGTCGTCGACGTCGTCGTGGGCGAGTCGGTCGGGAGGGCGAGACACGTCGTCGTCGTCGGCGTCGTCGGCGTCGTCGTCGTCGTCGTCGTCCTCGTCGTCGCCGTCGTTCGCCAACGCTGGGGGTCGTCGCCGTCGTGGTCCTCATCGTCGTCGTTTGCCAGCGCCAGGGGAGGGCTGGGGGGCGGTTCGAACCCTTCCACCTCCGATCTTCACTTTGGAGAGGGGGAGGGAAGGGGGGGCGCACGTGGGATCTGTTATTTCTCTGCTAACGTAAGTAACCATCTCAATCTTGATGTCACGAAGCGCATGGGGTGGCCAAACTCTACACAGGTGGAGGGCGACTGCGTGCAACACTGAAGATGCACACCGTGCTCGCTTCAGCTTCATGCTTTGGCTTTGTGACAGCTCTGCTGGTTACCTGGGCGCGAGGCATCTCCTTTTCAAGACAGGGATGTCGTCTGAATGGCAGGCTCGCGGGGCTATGGGAAGGTCGGCTTTCAAAGGGACGCCCAGCGTAGTGAAATGAGCACTTGTAAGAAAGTCCGGGGAGGATGGTTTGACGGGAGGGTGTGTTCCAGCATGGTTGACGCACGCAGGGAGTACCCTAGTCCCTCTCCTCCTCCTCCTCCTTCTCCTCCTCCCCCTCCTTTTCTTGACGTTGGGCAAACCTTAGGACAGAGCCTGCGGCAACGGCGTTATTGTGGGCCGTGCAAGAAAAACGGCCCACTAAGCGATGCAACGATCAAATTACGCCTGGCTGTCACAGCGGCAGGCGTGAAGAAATGGAAAACGACAGTAGGCCCGCAAGGGCACAGCGTATGCGCCAGCCAGGCTGTGAAGTCACTCTCCCTTTCGCCCCCTCCTACTTATCTACCCCGAACTCTTCCCAGGTCAAGGCCCTCACCGAGAGACTGTGCTGCAGATGCTGAACACGCCCTCACCGAAGGATTCTGTTGAAATCTGTTGGCAGCGCTCCTGCCACCGCTACCTCCGCCACCTCTACAACCCAGTCCCAGGCCCTGGCCGAGGGCAGCGCTGCGATGGCTAATGTAAGATGCCGTGATTGGCTGGCGGGTGTGACTAGCGGTTGGCATTCAGCAGGCTGCTGGATGCGGCGCCCAAGCGGCGCCAATGAAATACTCTCCTCCGCTCCACCACCTCCCCACTCTTCCCCCGCTTCCTGCCAGTGTCGGCGGTAGGACAGGCCGATGTACCGATGCCAAGTGGCGCAAACAAATCAAAAGGGCCGATGTAAAGATGCCCAGAGAGTGCACGATTCCCTCACCGAGGGAAACTCGAGAGACATAGTGCAGATACGACCTAGTCACGATGAAAACACTCTCCACCACCACATTCTGCTACCTCGGCAGCCTCCACCTCCAACATCGCGAACAAAAGTGAACAACACCATGGCTGGTCAGTATCGCGTGTACGGAAGAGGATAAAATGTTGCGTGGCATCTGAATCCAAAACGCTGGCCGCCCCCCCCCCCAGGAGATCAACGAGTGGAAAAGCTAGTCTCAAGTCAGACTCCGGTCTTAAGTCAGTCTTGAGGACACCCCTCCATAACAACCGCAGAAACACTACCAAAACAAGCATTGCAGCCGATGTCGTTCCCAGGTTGCTTGGTCGCGCGTGCACGCGCGAGGTCAAATGCTTCGCATGTCTTCGGCCTCCCCCCCGCAGCACCACTCATCACCACTCCTCCGTACCTCCCCCTTCGTTACTGCAACTCGGTCACCGCGAAGGATGGCAGAAAGAAGCGGCCTCTCACGCGCGCAAAACAACTGAGGTCTCTCGAAGTCCATGGTCTGCCCCGGTGGCCACGTGCCTCAAGGGTTCACCACCGCGGCAACTAATATGGGCGCGGACCGAAGAGCGGGGCTACACTGGCCGCCGTTCGTCTTGTGCGCCGCTGCGCGGGGACATGCGCCACGACATCAACGTGCTCGGTCCACAACGGGATGCAGAGGAAACGACCATGTATGGTGGTGCACCAAATGATCGGCCTGTCTCTTCGTGCGAGCTTCGAATCGCCGAATGTAAAAATGTCAGCATCAACGTATACAATGCCTAGATGAATTCCATTTCCGACAGTGATGCACTGGCAAAACTGGTCTTCTGCGTGTTTACCTTCGTCTCGCAGTAAAGGCAAACTAGTTGCATGAGTTCATCCCAATCTTTTTGGATCATGTCAACGGCTTGGCTGTACCAAGCATGCAACATGCAAGGAATGTCGTCGGCTTCATCACGCATCGCGCCGTGCGCGTCGAGCAAATAGTGGTAAACAGGCTGCGGGGACGACAGTACTTGCACAACAACGCTAATATGTAAAACCCGTAAATATCTGTTAAAATCACTATTATCTCCTGGCTCTTGTGCACCTGGGCTATGAACTTCAGCCCGGCTGTGGTTTTCAAGGGTGCCGCGGAGAGCGCCTTGGGGCCTCCACCTCCCCTTGCCGCTGCAGCAATTGATGAATACGTGTAAGCCGTATCTGCGCAATCAACTTTACAAGACACGTCTGCTGCGTGGGTTTCCGAGGATGTCAAAAACAGCGCCTCGGGGCCTCCACCTTCCCTTAGAACCTCCTCCTCTGCTCTGGTGGATCTGGCGTGTGGAATAGTGTCCGTTGGCCTTGGAATCAGAGTGTCCCGGCTGTCTTTGCTGTAAATCAACTGCGCCAAAGGATCTGCAAGGCAGAGATACAACAACACCGCGTTCTGGGCTGATTGCCGAACGCGGCGTACCGGTGCTGATTCTTGGAACCGACTTGATTCGCGTCCGCCTGAAGTCTTGGTGTATACTGTGGCGGCGGAGGACACTGGCTGAGTACGGGGGCCGGAATCATCTGAACGCTTGGTATGATTGGCGGGATGATAAGACTATTGAAGTTCGTACATCCTGTGGATGGTTGTGCTGAACGTTGCTGTGCCTCTTGCTGCGAATATGTTTGTCCACAGCTGCGCAAGCATTCTAGGACAGCTTGTGTGGCACCCCACGAGTGTAAGGTGTGGGCTCTTCGGTCTCGAATGCTTTCCTTTCTGATCGACGAGGCTTAACATCATTCCTATTACATAGGCGTGCCGTCGCAAGGTCGCCAAAACAGATCGTTGATGCGAGCCTGGTTTCTCTTGGTCGGGGTGCGTGCAGCAGCCGACTTAGGGTCGCTAGAGAGCCGCCCTGTGCGGCGGAAGGCGGCTCGGGGCGGCGGCGGTCCTCCTCCTCCTCCTCCTCCTCCTCCTCCTCCTCCTCCTCCTCCTCCTCCTGTCTCTCCTCCTGTCTCTCCTTCTGTCTCTCCTCCTCCTCCTCCTCTCCTGCTGTCTCTCCCCACCACCACCACCGCCACTCTCCTCTCTTCCTCCGCCCGCCTCCCACCGCCCCCACCGCCCACGCCCCATTTCCCTCCTTGTTTTCCTTTTCCTCCTCCTCGTCATCCTCTCCCTCCTCTTCCTCCTCCTCCTCCTCCTCCTCCTCCTCCTCCTCCTACTCCGCCTCCTCCTCAACCCATCCGTTCCCCCCTCCCCCCTCTCTTCCCCCCCCCCCCCCCCACGGTGCCAAGGAGGCACGCCTTCGTGACGATGGAGGGCCAATTCCACTGGCGCGTGCCCCGCATGAAGCCGTGCATGCGGAGTGTCAGGCAGAGGGTGCCTTCCCGCGCGTGCTCCTCGTTCTCCGTCGCCCGGGCCTGCGCGGCCAAGGGGGGCCAGGAGAAACGGCGGGAGGCCCCCGGCGCGGCCGCCAGCCCATTGTTCCCCCCCCCCCCTCCCCCCTGTTCTCTGCGGTCTCTTCCCAGTCCTCGTGCTCGTTTTGCTTCCTCCTGCTGCTGCTCCTCCTCAACCGTTTCCTCCTCCTCCTCCTCCTCCTCCTCCTCCCCCTCCTCCCCCTCCTCCTCGTCCTCCTCCTTCTCCATCCCGCTTCCTGATCAACAGCTCCTCCCTGTCGCACCCCGAGGCGGGTCGGCAGGGCGGGCCGGGCGTTCCGCCTGAGACTCCCTCATCCCTCATGATCCTGAAGCCTGACATAAAGGGAAATTAGGACACACAAATAAATACACACAAATAAAAATAGTCCCCATATTTTCCTATATTTTCTGGGTTTTTGTCTTCCCCCCCAATTCCCATATTTTCCCATATTTTCATGGGAATCGAGGATTAATTGTGTCTGTGTGTTTTTTCCCCTCCTGATGACATTTGCAACAGTTTCACGGGTAGAGGGCGGGCCGTCTGCGACATGTGGCTCTCGCCTTAGCGCCGCGCACATTCGTCCTTTCAGTTTGCCTGGACTTCACGGATGGGGGGCGGGTCCTTTTCAAAATGTGGCTCTCGCCTTAGCGCCGCGCACATTCGTCCTTTCAGTTTGCCAGAGCTTCACGGATGGAGGCCGGGTCCTTTTCAAAATGCGGCTCTCTCCTTGGCGCCGCGCACATTCGTCCGTTCAGTTTGCCAGAGCTTCACGGATGGAGACCAGCTCCTTTTCCAACGTGGCTCTCGCCTTAGCGCCGCGCACATCCGTCTTAACAGTTGGCAGTAGGTTCAAGGACTCTTATGGCTGACGTCCGAGAAATGATGCTTTGGCGCGGTTCAGGATTGTCAGGGCGCGGCAGTCACGCTGATTCGCGGCGTTGACGTCCCAGTCATGGTGTTCTGGCACGCCTTAGGACCATCAGGTTGCAAGAGTAACGTCCGCTCGCGGCGGCGAAGTCCCAGGAATGGTACTCTTGAGGCGGTTGGTCGTCTTCCAACGGGGCGCTTCCATGAGCGCCCTGACGCGGCCTAAGAGAGCTCAAAGACGACAGAGACAGCCTAAGGCGGCCTACGAGGCCCCCTAGACGCCCCAATAGGGCTCCGAGAGACCCCCCAAGAGAGTCCTAAAATGCACACATCGTTCAGTTTCCTTCGGTGTGTCAAGTCTGCTAGCGTTCTCGCCTTTCTGGGCTTCCTCAGCTCCAGGGCGACCCGAAATCGCCCCAAGATGGCCTAAGATGCCACCAAGACGGCCCAAAAGAGCCCAAGAGGCCCCCAAGGCGGCCCAGGAGCGGGGGAATCCGAACTACTATTTCGAACACTCCGCCCTCTGGAGCTATCCTTGGCCCTCCTTGTGGGGCACGATCTGCGCAAGGTGTGTGTGTGTGTGTGTGTGTGTGTGTGTGTGTGTGTGTGTGTGTGTGTGTGTGTGTGTGTGTGTGTGTGTGTGTGTGTGTGTGTGTGTGTGTGTGTGTGTGTGTGTGTGTGTGTGTGTGTGTGTGTGTGTGTGTGTGTGTGTGTGTGTGCCACATCGAAGCTGTGGCGCCACGTGGGCGCCTCCGCTGGAGACGTGGCTGACGCTCCCAGCAGGGTGCGGCTCGTGGGCGGGAGCAGCCGGATGCAGGCGGTGGCGCCGCGCGAGCGCCCGCCCGTGCAGCCGCTGCTGGAGCTCCCCCTCTGGTGCACGGTCCGCGTGCGCGGCGCGCCGAGCCGAGGCGGTGGCGCCGTGCGGGCGCCCCCGCTGGAGCCGTACAGCCGGCCTGGCTTGGACAGGGCACGCGAGCGGACACGAGAACCTTCCCGGGGCCACGCTGCCACAGCACGGCAGGAGGCATGGGACAGCCTCCTCCTCCTCCTCCTCCTCCTCCTCTTCCTCCTCCTCCTCCTCCTCCTCCTCCTCCTCCTCCTCCTCACAGGGCACGAAGGCACCCTCGATCTGGCAGGGTCGACCTACTACTCCGGGCCGCCTGCAGTGGGAGCTCCCTGCGGGGGCAGGGACAAGCAGCGCGGGCAGCAGCAGGCGCGGAGCAGCAGCACGCGGCAGGCCTCGCAGCAGCGGCGGCGGCAGGGAGGAGGGGGAGAGAGGGGGGAGGTACAAAACCAGCTCTGTCTGGAGTCTCGGGGCATTGATGCCGAGGCGGGGTCCTCGGGACCCGATGCCGAGGGAGTGGGAAGGAGGCGCGCGGCGCAGTGGAGAGGAAACGACGCCAGGGCTGGGAACAGGGGGCCGTCCCAAGGCCTAACCGTGGAAAAGTTGCGCGAAGGGGCGGGAAGGAGACTCGCGGCGCAGAAGAAAGAAAACGCGTGCCCACCCAAAAAAGAACTCGTTTTTCATGATTCGCGATACCGCTCGAGACCGGTCCCGCGCACCCCCTCCCCCCCTGGTCACGTCACGATTCGCGCCGGCGCCTTGTGGGAATTACCCGTCCCTAGAAATTTCCAGACAACACTGGGGCGAATCGGGACTTGACCGGCCCTCGCACCCCCTTCCCCCCCCAATCACGCCCGTAGTTAATCTCCACGGGAAATCAAAAACGGTCTCTGGGAGGAGGAGCAGGAGGAGGAGGAGGAGGAGGAGGAGGAGGAGGAGGGGAGGAGGAGGATAGAGGAGGGCGGAGGGGAGGAGGAGGAGGAGGAGGAGGAGGAGGAGGAGGAGGAGGAGAAGGAGGAACAGGAGGGGAGGAGGAGGAGGAGGAGGAGAAGAAGAGGAGGAGGAGGAGGAGGAGGAGGAAGGCGTGAGGGAGGGGGGGTGACCCGCCTCCGCCGTCAGGGCTATGGCCAATCTGGGTCCCTGTCACACGCGGGGAGCGAGCGGCGTGACTGGAGGACCACAAAACTGGCCATCGCTCGGACGTCCACTCCCTGTGCATTTTCCGATCTCGTGCGTGCGTTTTGTTCGCAAGGCGGCCCAAGATACTCCTCGATGATGTTCGCCAAGAAGATGCACGCGTCCGAGCGATGCCAAGGAAACGGCATAGGCATACTTTCTCGGAGGCCCACGGGAGTTTCTTGGATCGGCGCTGGGCCCCTCCTCCCTGGCGCGCGGAGCGCACTCGAAGAAATCCCCGCCAACTCCGAGAAATGATGCTTCTGCCGTTCTGTTCTTTGATGAACCCAGGGCGGTACTCATTTCAGCATCTTGGCGCCGATCCAAGAAACCCGCGAGGACCTGCGAGGACTGCCAGCAGAACTGATAGTGAGGACGCACGATCAGGATGCAAGGGCCTTGGAAGGACATACCGACACTGCTCGCGCGGGTAGCGGCCAACGAAAGTGGCCAAGAAGGGGCCGAAAGGACAGGATGCCAGGGAAACCTTGGCACGTCCCTCATCCTTGCTATCGATGTTGACTCCGGTGTTTATGATAATGCCGCCTCTTCGTCTTCGATTGGCCAAGCTTTTTTTCTTTCTCCTGCTACGCAAACAGTTCTTGAGCCAGATGGCGCCGGCAACCGATCACCATTTGCACGCCACGGACGCGCTCACCGAGCGGAGGGGCGCCGCGACTTCGGCGCTGCCTCGTGACACCACGGGGATCGCTCAACCCTTGAGCGAGCGGCCGCCTCCGACACGTCAGACCGTCAAACGTCGACCGATCCCGCGTCGCCGGCGGCGTTCAGCGCCCAGCCGACATCACAACAGGATGGCATACGGAGTCTACGCCGCTTGAGCCAGCAGGGCTACCGCGGATTCGTGCCGTGGCGACCCCGGCGCCGCTTTCTGACACCGCGGGGGTGATTCAACCTTGGACGACCGGCCGCTTCCGAACCGTCAGATCGTTCAACATCAAGCGATTCTGGGTCGCCCGCGGCGTTCAACGTTGAACGCTGGCAACGCCACCGCCGCCGGTCGACACGATGCGAACCGACCGTATCCGCGGGATCGCGCCACGGAGCCCAAACCGCGTGTATGGATACAGTCATCGTGTTATCACAAGGATTAGGTCGGGCATGTCCTCCTACAGGCGGATCTTGGACGACAACTAGAACATGCGCAAAGGAGTACTCAGAAATTGTAAAGATAATCGTCCCCTGACTATTTTTGTTTGACTATTTTTAAATATTCCTCCTGTAGAAGGCCATGCCCGAATTAACACGCGGGACCCCGGTCAAGGGACGAAATGGGGCCTCTTCCTCCTCCTCCTCCTCCTCCCGCCTCCTTCTCCTCCTCCTCCTCCTCCCGCCTCCTCCTCCCGCCTCCCCCTCCTCCTGCTCCTGCTCCTCCTCCTCCCGCCTCCTCCTCCTCCTCCTGCTCCTGCTCCTCCTCCTCCTCCTCCTCCTCCTCCTCCTCCTCCTCCTCCTCCTGCTCCTCCTTCTCCTCTCCTCCTCCTCCCGCCTCCTCCTCCGCCTCCGCCCCTCCTCCCCTCCTCTTCCTCCTCCTCTTCCTCCTCCTCCCGCCTCCTCCTCCCCCTCCTCCTCCGCCTCGTCCTCCCCCTCCTCCTCCCGCCTGCTCCACCCTTCTTCTCCTCCCGCTTCCTCCTTCTCCTCCTCCTCCTCCTCCTCCTCCTCCTCCGCCTCCTCCTCTGCCTCCGCTTCCTCCGCCTCCTCCTCCTCATCCTCTTCCTTCTTCTTACCTCAGAGAGGCTGGAGCGCCCACGGTAGCGGTCTTCAGAGCGGCCCCGACGGCCCAAGCGCTCTGGGGGGCCAACACAGGGATCGGCCTAAGCAGTATTTGTTCGTTTTCGTTTTGTTTTCGTTTTCCCTCGGCTTGTCTTCGATCCGTCTCTGCCGCAAAACGAAAACGAAACGAAAACGGCCCACGAAATCGCCGAAACACCGTTCAGGTCGACCCCTGGTCTCGACCCATTCACCGGGACCAATTTTTGATCCTGAGCCGTTTCTGAACACTCCCGGGGCCCAGCAAGGGCCCCCAGAAGCCGAAACTAGCGACAAAAAAGCTCCCACCGTGTTTTTTTGTGTCACAGCGCGAGGGGGTCTGGGAGGGGCGCCCTTGGCAAGGAGAGTGTGTTGGTGGCCGTGCTGGGGGGCTTTGGAAAGCAACCCTCCTTTCTCGAAGCCCAGGTCCTGTCGTGCTGGCTCCTCGTCCTCGGAGGAGGAGTCCTCCTCGTCCTCGTCGCCCGCTTCCTCTTGGGGGCAGTCTGCACCATATGTAAGGATATTAATGGCCCAGGGCGACGATGAGAAGGACGAGGATGTGCTTTCAGGCGGCAGGCCTTCGTCCCGCTGGCATTGTCAGTGCCCCCTGCCTCCTCTTCCTCTTCTTCGCTCTCGTTCGTCCCCAGGTTAGCTGAAGGCGGTGGCACTGTACATCCCATTGGTTGCTATTCCTCCTCCTCCTCCTCCTCCTTCTCCTCCTCCTCCTCCTCCTCCTCCTCCTCCTCCTCCAGGTGTTCTGTCGCTGCGCGCAACGTAAGGGAGAGAACGACCAGCATGGACCAGGCCTCTCCGCTTCCCCGCCCTCCGTCGCTCTCCTTGCCAGCGGCGTAGGAGGGGAGGAAGAGGAGCAGGACCAGCGAAATACCAAGACGCACCACGGATGTTGCAATAGACCCTACCTCCAAGTCCCCGTTGCACAGGTCCGTGCAACATGTATCTCCACTGCGGGAAGAAGCCCGTTAGAAGACAAGCGTCGGAGAGCCCTCAGCAACTCAGAAGCACCGTGCCTGGAACTTCAACGCCGCAGATCAAGGTGACTGCTGCGTCCTGACAATCCCGAATAGGAAGCCGTTCCTGGCACTTCAACGCAGCGAATCAACGTAACTCTTGCGCCCTGGCAGCCTTAAATCGTGTTAGAACGCCGTTCCTGTGTCGCAAACTTTGAAGACGAATGTGCACGGCGCTAAGGCGAGAACCCCATGTTGAAAACGGCCCGCCCTCCCTTCGTGAAGCTGCTGCGAGCTTTGAAGACGAATTGCGCGCTGGGGTAAGGCGAGAGCCACCTTTGGACACGGAGCCGCCCTTCACCCCTGAATCTGTTGCAAGCCTTGCAGGCGAATGTGCGTGGCGCTCGAGCGGGAACACTGAAGGGGAACTGTGACACACAAATAAATACACACAAATAAAAATATCCCCCATATTTTCTCATATTTTCTGGGTCCTTGTCTTCCCCCCCACTTCCCATATTTTCCCATATTTTCTAGGAATCGCCGATTAATTGTGTCTGTGTGCTTTTTCCCCTCCTGAAACACACACGCTGAAAAGTTCCGTCCGTGAAGCTGTTCCAAGCTCCAAGCTCCAAACCCAAGAGAGTCTACAGCGAGATGTCCGGGCCGCCCTGCCGACACGCCTGGGGGGCGACAAAGGGGGAGTTCTGCATAGGGAAAAAAAGGTAGAGGAGGGAAGAGGAGGGAAGAGGAGAACGAGGAGTAGGATGAGGTGAGGCAGCGTGACGAGTTGGCACTCCCCTCTCCCTCCTGCTGCTGCTCCTCCTCCTCCTCGCCATCTCCCCCGTTCCCGGAGCTTTGTCGGAGGAGGCGGGTGCGGAGCAGCAGCAGGCGAGGGGGGGGGGTAGGATGCGGCTGCATTGTGAGAATCTGGCCCTGGCTCCTGGTCCGCTTCCTCGTGCAGCCCCGGCGGCGGCACGACCTTCTCTTTCTTCCCACGAGCCAGCAGCTTCGCCAAGTGGGCCATGTCCCTGACCAGCCGGGCGAGAGACGAGGGGGCGGCCCCCACCCTCGTCCTCGCCCCCCATTCTCCTCCCCCCTCCCGCCATCCCCTCCCCCTCTCCTCCCGCCCTCCGTCTCCTCCCCACTTGTAGTACCCCCTTTCCCCACCTCCTCTTCCTCCTGCTGCACGGTTCCCTCCTCGTCTTCGCCCTCCCTCTCCTTTACCTCCTCCTCCCTTCCTTCCCGCCTTCCCGCCTCCCTGCCTCCCTGCCTCCCTCCCTCCCTCCCTCCCTCCCTCCACTCTCTCACTCCTTCCCTCCTTCCTTCCCTTCCTTGCCTCTCTCCCTCCCTCCCTTTCTCCCTCCCTTCCCTCCTTCCTCCCTTCCTCCCTTCCCTCCCTCCCTTCCTACAGCTCACTCACAAACCCATCGTTTCCCCTCCTCCTCCTCCTCCTCCTCTTCTTCTTCTTCTTCTTCTGCTTCTTCTTCTTCTTCTTCTTCTCTTCCTTCCTCCTCCTCCTCCTCCTCCTCCTCCTCCTCCTCCTCCTCCTCCTCCTCTCCTCCTCCTCCTCCTTCCTCCTCCTCCTCCCTCCTCCTCCTCTCCGCCTTTCCCCTCCCTCCCCCTCCTCCTCCTCCTCCTCCGCCTCCCCCTCCCCCCCCTCCCCCTCCTCCTCCTCCTGACCCCAGGCTTCAGTCAGCCAGCCTGAGCTGCTTCTCGCCATGGTTCGGCTGGCGAGACCGTATCCCCCTGCACTTCCTCACGCACTGGTTGACCTGCCGGGGGGGCTGCACCGCGGAGGGCCCCCAGACAGGGACGCAGACGTGTGCCACCACGCGGCGTGCTGACTGAAGGCAGGCCCAAGGAGCGGCCCGAACACCAGGGCCCTCTTCAGGGAACAATGGTGAAGGGGCCCTGGGACACACACACACACACACACACACACACACACACACACACACACACACACACACACACACACACACACACACACACACACACACACACACACACACACACACACACACACACACACGC